CTAACAAGATATTTATTCAAGTACAATTTATTTTGAAAATTACAAATAGTAGAAAATAATAAAATTGAGTTAAAAAATACAATTTTGCTATAATTTCAAATTGGATATTATTATATGATATAAAGGAAGTATAAAAATTAAACTAATATTAACATTTAATTTAAAATAAAAATAATATATCAAATAAGTTCAGTTAACAATAACTTTTTAAAAACTCTTAAATCACATGCATTTCGGGTTGAACTTGGCAAAGCGTTCCATAATCGAATTGAATGAATAAAGAAAAACCTAGTGGTAGCAACAAAATTAAATCTTGGAATTATGAAAAGAAGAGATCTTGTGGAACGCATAGGCTGCAAGCAATTATAAAGGTACTCAGGATATTTAGAAGTTTTTAATTGGAACAGAAATAGGCAGATTCGAATATTTAAATACTGCTCAATGTCACAACCCAGTATAGCGTTTCTATAAACTGTTAGATGATCAAAACGTTTAAGGCCGTAGACGTATCTAGTACAACAGTTTACTACTGTTCTCAGTTTAGCAAGGGACTCGTAGTCCAGTTTACAGTACACCAACGCGGCATAAGTAATTATAGGCAATATTAGTTGTCTGACCAATAAGCCACGGACATGGACAGGGGTATACTTAGCAGATAAATTCAAATATCTGAGGCAAATATATGATTTCCTAACGACATGATTGATATGATCAGAGGCATGTAGCTTTGAATTCAAATTAAATCCTAGACATTTAACTGATGCACTATATTTAATAATTGAGTTTCCAATAGCTACCGATGGTAATTCGTCTAAGTTTAATTCAGACCTACTAAGCGGCAACATGATGGTTTTATCTGCATTTAGCAGCATATTGTTTTCAACCGCCCAGCGATGTATGCATGTTAAATCTATATTGATCTTTGTGACCATGTCATTTAAATTATCACTCCGACACGAATAATACATTTGTATATCATCGGCATATCCATGTAGCCTCGAAAATTGACATACTGAGAAAACGTCATTAATATAGATCGAAAATAGCAATGGCCCAAGAATCGATCCTTGAGGAACCCCAGAAAACAGAAGTTTAAAATTTGAAAATTTATTATCAGTAACTACTGACTGAGATCTCTCAGTTAAATAACTAAAAATAAATTTAGAAGCTAAACTGGAGAAGTGGAACTTATTTATGAGCTTTTTACAGAGCAAAGCGTGATCAACTCGATCAAATGCTTTTGAAAAATCTAGAAGGCATAAGTAAGTAACCAAATCCCTATCATAACTTAATCTAATATCTTCAAGGACTTTCAGCAAGGCAGACGCACAACTATGACCTTTTCTGAAACCAGATTGATAAGGAGATAGCAGATGAAAAACGTTTAGATGATTACGAATCTGTTCAGACATTATAGCCTCACACACTTTGGAGAGAGAAGAAAGAATACTGATAGGTCGATAGTCAGAAACTAATGAAGCATTAACTTTTTTCTCAGTTGGAATAACTTTAGCTTGTTTCCATGCCACTGGAAATGTAGAGGGAGGTAGTAATACAATAGTTTATAACATGAGTTAATGGAGATATTATAAATGGTAAAATGAGCTTTATGAATTTAAGAGGAATTTCATCTAGCCCAACAGCATTAGACTTAATATTCATTAAATTCTTAAAAACAATATCTTCACTGACGCAGTAAAAACTAAAGCCTTCATTAGCGTCAACAATATTCATATCAAAGAATACTGAAGAAGAGCTACCATTATCCTCTACAGAAGAAACAAAGAAGTTATTTAGAGCATTTGGGTCCATATTGCATATATTTTTTATTTTTACTTTTTCTTGTAACCCCAAGCATTTTGATATTATTCCAAAGGGTTTTAGTAGATTTAGTACCACCAAGCTTAGATTCATAGTAATCTGACTTAGCCTTAAAAACAGTTCTAGCAGCTACATTTCTAGCAATTCTAAACTTCATCCAGTTATATTCCGTAGGGTACTTTTTCCAAACTGCATATTTTCTATTTCTTAAATTAATAAAACGTTTTATTGTAGTACTAAACCATGGGCAAGAAACATTATTGACGGTAATAGTACGAAAAGGTACATACCGATTTCGAAGGCTAAGCAATTTTTTATTAAATGCATCTAATTTTTGATCAACTGAAATACCAGACCAACATTCATTCCATTCAGTTGAATTAAGTTCACAAAATAATCCCATTGAATCAATTGACTTATAATCCCAAAAAGAAAATCTAGTTGAGATGGATTTTTTAGTTTTCTTGAAGTCAAGCGTAATAAATAGTAGGTCATGATCTGAAACAAATGAAATCTGTTCAAACAACAACAATTTGCTTATATCAGAAACTGCAATTATGTCCAGAAGACTAGGCTTAACATTATTGGCATATCTAGTAGGTATGGTCCTATTGACAATATTTAAGCCCGACATGGCAATAAGATCATTTAAACGGGAAACATTACCACAGTTTGAGAGAAGGTCATTATTGAAATCGCCAAGTACTGCTAAGAAGTCGAAATTAAGCGCAATGGGTTGCAGTGAATCAAAAAATGGATCGCAACTAAAGCGTTTGTGTGAATTATACACGCACCCCACCAATATTTTCTGAAAACCAACATTGATGCTTATAACAACAAATTCAATGTCAGACTCACCAGATATACATACCAAATTACTTTTTAAATGAGACTTGCAATAAATTGCCACCCCGCCTCCTCTCCTTTGCCTCCTATCATGGCGGTATAAAATATAATTGTTCATTGACAGAAATAAGGTACTGATGTCGCTATTAAACCAAGTTTCCGAAACGCATATGATATCAACATCAGAGTTTTCAAAAACAGTCCTAATGTAGTCAAATTTTAGATCAGTTAGGCTTCTAGCATTAAAATGTACCACATTAAGACCGCAATTTTGTTTACTAAATATATTTAACAAAGTTTTGTGGTCCATCAAAGTTGATAATCAGTCATTTCAGCTTCCAGTCTAAGTTTTCTTTGTAAAGTTTTACATTTTAGGTCCCTGGAATCATGGTCTATGTCGAGATCATTCAGATTTAGATTTTTCTTGGCTTTGATACAGTTTACACATCTTAGAACGCTGCTTTTACATTCTTTGTATATGTGGCCAGCTTCACCGCATTTTGCACATACATGCACACTTTCCTTACAAATAGACGCTTTATGGTTAAAACCCCAGCACTTGTAGCATCGCATTAAATTCAAGTTTTCGTACACTATGCATCGTTCCCAGCCAATATTAAGTCTACGAACACTCATAACTTGCTTGAAAGCTATGCCATCTAATTCAACTAACGCGTTAAAAATGTTTTTATTTTTGAACGACTCATATATTTTCAAGACTTTAATATATTTAATCTCCATATTGTTTTGATTTCTTATTGCTTGGAGAAATTTATCATTTTCCAAACGCTCACTCATGCCGGTAATAAGGATTTTAGGGTTTCGCATAGCAGGTGTCTCAATTTCATAGTTCTTACCTAATTTCTTTTTAATCTCTTTTGCAAGAATTTCTCTCTCTTTTGAGGTTACACATTTTATTGTTACCCTTCCATCATGTTTAGAATGAACACCACAAACTTTAACTTTAGTTAGTTAGTATTTTTCTTTTGTATTGTGGAGAGGTCTACAAATTATATATCAGGGAAAGTATAGAGGCTATACCACATTTCTTTGGATTTAGGCATGCTTCGAAACTCTTAAGAACAAAAATTTTTAATTTGCAAAAGGTTTTAAAGTTTGATAATGTTGTGAAATCGTAGTACATATCTTAACAGAAACTGATTTCTGGTACAATAGAACTTTTCTGGTCGCAGTACCGGTTATTGGGCGATTTCACAACAACAGTTTTATTTAAAAAAAGTTTTATTACTAAACTGAAAACATTAAATTTCTTAACCAATATTTATATATAAAAATAAAATACAAAAATAAACAAAAAGAAACTGAACTTAAGATTGCATATTACAAACCTAAGCACTTTACTTATACTTCACTTTTAGTTATATTTGTTGATTTTATTTTTCATATATTTACATAACTTCAACTACTGCAATGCAAATAAATTATGGCTAGGATATTTGCAATTTTACAGAAATCTGCTTAACCTTATCTTATGGCCACGTTGTCGCGCCATTCATCACGTCTTAGCAAAAATGTCTGAGAATGATGCACACAAATATCCAGCGGCACGTACTAGTAACCCCAGTTGAAGGAAAACTCATCCGCTATCACATTTCATACAAATTTGGAACTATTCACACATACAAAAAGCATGATCTGGAAGCACCTTTGCTGCAGCCAAAAACAAACAAAGTCATGCAATATACATTTTACGCGCATTTTCCAGATTTTCTTGGTACTTAAGCTTCCGCATTCTTGCATCTAAAATGCAATCTCTAACATGAGACCAATTTTTTTCTATTTCCCATTACTCCCGCCGACTCTTGGCCGTGCTCCACGCTGACATTGTGTGCTGCATACAGCATGAAATCGCGCTGCAAATTGCACGTATTTCCGGAGTTGCTCGTACTTTTGCATTGTTTCTCATTTGCTTTGTTATTTAGTTCAGATTCTTGATATTCCATTTATATTTGTTCCTACTTTTCTTTTTGTATTCGTTTTGTTTTGTTTTGTGTTATTATTTATTTATTTGTATATTTATTTATTTAGGGCTCTATGCTCCACCTTGGAGAATAGAATTACATACCATATATGCGCTTTATTTATTTGTCGTTGTTTAAATGAGAAATAATTTTGGAACTTGAATATCTACAATGCCTTTATGTACATCAAATATAATTTATTTAATATATTGTATTGTTGTTATTGCTTTTGCATAGTATTATTTATTATTTTTAGGGCACTACCTAATTTGAAGGAGTTCTGCATAAGCAATGTTCATGAATATTTTTCGAATAGACAAATGCTTAGATAAATGCATCTAAGTAACTTACCTGAGATACCATCATAGGTCCACCATTCTTCCCAACTGACTGCAAGCATTACTGCAAATAACAACCAAATATTTATAAACTTAATTATTAAATAAAATTTAAAATTTTTTGTTTAAAAATTATAATTTTGATATAATTATTTTAATATATTGAAATGTATAATAAATAAATAATTTACCTAAACAGTAATTTTTTGTTATCAAGAAAAAAATTATTCGATGTGTTTTAAGAAGATAACAGAGTACCTATGCTAAAACTAAATTGCCAAATTTACCTCCGGCAGTTTTGGTACTAATTATGAGCGTAGAATAATGCTATTGTCAGAGAGATAGCAAAAGTTATATAGTTTAAGTTAGGTTAGAATGTCAGCCGTGTGCATCACATCTCACTTAAGCACATATAATGATCCATTAAATTGCACCGATGAGGCATCGGCTTTACGCTAGATCAGACGAACTACCTTAAAGGTGGAAATTCTAAACATCTAGTGTATTAACGTCGTCCTCCTAAAATGATGCAAATTTGTATGTAAACGCGGGTGTGCCCTGCGTTTTAAAGATCGGTTCAGTCAGTTAGAAAAGAGACCCCAAAAGTCTTGAATTTTCTTTAAGCTAACAATTAAAACTCACAGACACAACCACGACTTTCATCATAGAAAATAGAGCAAGTCAAATAAGTAAATGTAAAGCAGTCATTGGTTACAAAAATTAACAGATACTTCAATCTACTGAAAGTAGATGTTTTAATAGACGTTCACCTAGAAATTTTTATAATAGTCTGCCTAGAGACCTTTCCGAGAGGCATATATCTTCGCTTTCTGCAGGTAGCCAACGATTATTGGATGTCACTCACAACTTATAAAATATTCTGGTCGGCGAGGCCGTGAGGAGTTCAAGAATACAACCAGGTGTAAGGAACTTATGAATAGGGACCGAGTCCAGGCTAATTGTAATTGTCGCTAATATATAAAAAACAACAGCTGAACTAAAAAAAGCACTCCCACACCATTTTCTTTTAAATTTTCTTTTAAATACACTTTTTACTGCACTGATAAATCTGGACCAATAACATAAGAAGTACTTAGTATATAATTAAATTCTTATTATTTATTTTAGGTTTGAATAACCAGATCGATCTAATCAATTGGAAAAATTCGTTACATGAATAAAGAGATTAAAATATCACCATAAAGAGTATCAGAATGAATGTAAGTATTTCAAATAACTAAGTCTTTTAATTAAGCTAATCGGTCTTTTGTAATTACAAACTACTTTAAGTTTTTCTACAATTTTTGACGATGCATTTTTAAACCTCAATTATGATAAGATTAAACTGATTGCGTTGCAGCAGTTCTTTGAATCTGAAACTACCTCTCCTTCCTCTTCAAAGGAAGATTTTTTTTTCAGATTTCTTATCATACCAACAACAGATATACAATCATTTATATAAATTACATTGACTAACATTTAGCAAAGTTAGTAATTTTTATTATCACTCACAATGTAATATTAATGTACTTTCCAAATTTTTTCAACACAAAATGCAACAAATTCCGCTGAAGAGTTCCAAGCAAAAAAGCCAAAAAGTTCCCCTTGCCAATCCAAAAGCATGGACATCCGTTTTCGAAAAAACATTAAACAAAATTAAAGGCGAATATCGCAGTAAAATGCATAGTAAAAATTTTTACAAAATAAAAACTATAAAATATTGTACAACTGGGTTGGCAATCCCAAGAGAACTTTAAGGTCAGCAATAGCAACAGTAACATCAGTTCAAGCAACAACAACAACAGCAATAACAAAAAATGAAAAAAGTAGTTGGAACATTTAGAAAACCATTAATTTCAATCATTGCCCGTGACTTCGCAATATTATTGTGCAATTTCAGTATGTTTTCCTGCGGTAATGAAATAAATGAAAGCGAAAAAAGGGCCAAGCCTTTTAATGCCAACACCACTATTAGTAATATTCGAACAATGTGGCAACAACTGTTCTAGTCCTTAAAGGGTTTTTGACTCAACAAATAAAATACGTATAGTAACTGCAATGGTCAGTTGAATATACTTGCATATCTTATAACATATTCTTTTATAATTTAAACACACATGTCATGCAAATTACTTAGCCTAGTAACTTTGACCTTATCAGGGCTGGCTTTATTGCAGGAAGTTGTTAAATAATAAAAATGATAGCGCAAAAGATAACCAAACGCCTAAACCTAAATAATTCTAATATCTAACGTTCTATGTATAATATTAAATCATGTACTCTTTTGTGAATACATAATTCCGTTCATATCGAAGTAAATGAATCAGCGGTTATAAATTTTGGGTTAGAAAAGTTTTTTTTAAGTTATCACATAAAATATGCCATTTTAAATGAATCAGCTAATATTTTGGGTTAAATAATTTTGAAAGCTTTCTAAGTGTCAAAATAAAAAACCAAACCCTCTTACTTAATATTCTCTTATTAGTAACAATATGGCGATAAGTATTTTCGTAGAGCTAAAATAGGCGTTGAGGTGTTGATGTCAAATTTAAGTGTTGAAATATAGCAAATCACAACTCATTATCGATGGAGTGAAAATGGGTCAAACGTTTTGTTAGCTGTTACAATTCATACTATAGGGATCCTGGGGTTATTCCCCCTAAATTCTAGAAAAAAATTGACCTTTGAAAATGATTTTAAGCTTGATTTAATTCATTTCAAGCAATCTTACAACGGTACATAAACAATAAACAAGCGATAAATTAAATGTTCCACTTCGTAGCCACAAATCCTGGTTACTTGGTTTTTATTTCTCGCTTTCTCGCCTTCGAGCACTTCATGTGTAAGGAGCGTGAAAAAGAGCATCTTCAACAACGCAATCATCACTTAAGTAAAGAAGGCAATTAATTAAATTAATTCAGTGTCTGCGAATAGAGCTGTTAAGTATCGGGATTAAGTGTATACCTAAGTGGATGGCAGCTCAATTGAAATAAATTAAAATGCCTTGCTCTTCCTCACACTTCCCCCATATACTTAAAGGGTTGACAGAATTTAGCTGGAATTTATTATTTTCAACTTGTTGAAAGTATTGGAAATAAAATTTATTTTAAGAAAATTAAATTTTGGTTTCCGAATTGGTTTTGGTTTGAAAATAATAGTTTTGTGAACAAAACTTATTCTCTAATATAATTAAATGTTATTACATATTTTTTTATACTATTATATATTCAAAGTACGCATGTAATCAGTTTACAATAATTTTAGAAATAAAATATTTCATTTCAATAAAAATTGAGGAAAAATTTTTTATTTATTACAATGTGGGGAGTGACCAAAATTTATAAAAGAAATGGTTTTAATAAAAGGTATTCGATACTGCAAACATTTAAAAAGGTTATAATCATCCCATTACTGACTAACTTCACAATCTTCACTATCTTCAAATATGGTCAATTCAAATAAATTAATGTTTTGGAGGGTTTTTTCCACTTGGTTGTTTAAAAATTGACGATCCACAGTAATAAATTTATATATTAAATCAAATGGATAACGTTAAAACCTTTCTAAACATGGTTTTAAAATCACTATACGCTAACGCTGCAATGATCTTTAGTAAGCAAACACGTCAGCATAACATGCCTTTAATCCCAACAAATTCGTGTTCTTGAATCAATCAAATCCACATCACAGAGTCGATCAAGTCTTCTTAGATAGCAACTCAATGCCGTAGTGCAGCAGAATCATATATATATGTCAGATTAGATTAGAGTGGAGCAGCGATTTCTAACAAAGCTTATTTGAACTCATATAATGGCTGATATGGATACCATGGATCAATTGTTTATATACATCTTAAAAGAACCACAGCTGTCAGCGTGCGAGCAACGTCATTATCGATACGTAGTACTGAATAAGTTTGGCTTTAATTAAACCAACTGACTAATACGTATTTGGATTATTCAGTATATAAATGAACGGATTTAACAATTTGCTTACAGGGTTGTGCAATTAATTAAAGCTAATAATACTGTATTGAATTAGTGGACGACATGAAGCTAGACAGGGGCTAAATATCACAAATCTAATAAATGATACTCACTGGTGTACAAGATAAAAACATCTATATATTGGTTAAACATTACCCAGACTATGTTAGAACAAAAATCAAGTAAAGTGCTCTATTTATTTTTCAAATACACAAGATCTACAATCCGCAAATACTTTCTTCCTACAAGTTAACTGTCTGCATATAAGTAGAGCACTCTATTGATCCTTTACATACACAAGATCTACAATCTACAAATACTTTCTTTCTACAAGCTAACTGTCTGGATATAAGGCACTCCTATAGTGTCCACAAAACTGCAAGAAAAATAGAACCGACCTTAGTTAATTAAAAACGGTCAAGCTATTTTCAATTTAATTGAAAAAATAATCTTGTTAACAATATATTCTAGTTTATTAATTTATTTTACTAATTTAGCATTTCTGTAATAATATCATTAATTTATATTGTAGAGGATCTAAATTGATTACAGAATCTTCTTTCAAAGAGTATATTAAACTTGATTAAAATTTCGAAATGGTTTTAATTACATCGAGATCAATACTGCAATGTGAATGGCTGACGGGCCTATAAAAATCACAAGAATTACAACAATAACTTAACCAACCCCAAGCATTTTTTTTTTTAATTTAAGAAAATTGGTAAATATATAAATCTATGTTTATAAATCTATATTTAAGGTGAAAATGTTTTTATGTTCACAACTATTCTCTCGACCATCATGGAACCATTTGGGCCATTTATAAAAGAGTGAATGTGATATATATATTGTTGGTAAAGGACTGCCTTAATACCTCAAATGCTTTGTTAGTTTTCTCATTCCCTGAGCATTTGAAGGTATTTATCTACCACTGACGTTAAGACCTTATTTAAACTGAAGGATATGTGTACGCCATAAAAGTATGATTTTACGATGTGACATGGGTGTAGTAAAAGTTACAGACTACATGTTATTTTTTACAAAAAATTTTTACTACTGAATTAATTACTGTAACA